TGAATTGCGATTAAAAGATTTCCCACACTTCTGGCATTTGTATGGTTTCTCTCCAGTGTGGATTCTCCGCAGTTGCGACTTCCAGTTTGTTAGCCAGGCTGGCTTTGACTGATCGGAGATGGAGTTCAACCACTTACCAGAATTCCCCCCCTCTCTCTTAACATTTCCCAAGCGGTTGGATGACTTGTGGTTTTGCTGTGGCTCAGAAATGCGATTTTGTTCATGGTCAGTGCAGATAATATCAGGCATGGAAGGGGAGGCCACGATCCTCCAGTTCTCTTCCATGACTTCCCTGTAGAGGGCCCTTTGGTCAGGATCCATCAGTGCCCACTCCTCCTGAGTGAAACACACGGCCACCTCTTCAAAGGTCACTGGACACTGGATGGAAGGGGGAAAAAGCATTATCTTTCTCACAGAAATACATACAGATATGAGCTAAATGATTAAATGAGATGCTCTCAGATCGCTGTACGGTACCTGTATGAACCAGTCTATGAATACGGATGAATACGTTTTTCAATTTTCATTTCTACTACAGTGGTGCCCCGCATAGCGACGTTAATCCATTCCAGGATTAACGCTGTTATCCGGAAACATCGCTAAACAGAACAAAAAACCCCATAGGAACGCGTTAAACCCTGTTTAATGCCTTCCTATGGGGCAAAAACACACCGTTCAGCTAATATCTTCCATAGGGGCGGCCATTTTCGGTGCCTCGCAAGCGAGGAATCCTTCCAGAATACAGCGGGCGGCCATTGTGAATCTGCCGATCAGCTGTTAAAAAAGCATTGCTTTGCCATGATCGGTTCCCCAAGCAGGGAACCGACACTGGGCGTCCTTGTCGGTGGGCGAGCGAGGCCTCAGAGACAGCCGCCTGGGGCGGGAAGGGGCGGGCCATCCACCCGGCGCTCGCGTGCTCGCCAGCCAGCCAGCCTGGGAGACACCAGGCATCCTTGGGCGGCAGGCAAGTGAGGGCTCAGGAGGAGGGGCGCCGGAACTCCCAGGCCTTGCCCTGCCTCTCGGCTCTCCCTGAGCCACCCCCTCAACACCGTCTTCGAAGCCCCCACCGGTCAGCTGGAACATCGTAATGCGATCGCAAAATCCTCATCGTTAAACGGGGCGCCCGTTAAGCAAGGCACCACTGTACATTCAAATGCATTATTTCTCAACTTCTTCCCAGATAACACCTTAAGAAATCCATTAACATTTGCAACCCTTCCTCTAAAACATATTACAACGAAACACTCCACCATCCTTCCCAGAAAGGCAAGCTGGGGAAGAAACAGTCAGGCTGCTCCCGGCACGACCTCCTAGAGATCCTTCTCTCACCTCTTCTGCTTTCACTCCATCATCAGGAAGAAGGGATGGCTCCGCACACACTGCCAGCGTCATTCCAACCCCTGCAAGCGATAGAAGTGAGGCGGAAAACCATCTGCACGCAGCATGTCTTGGACAACAGGATTAGAATCCTAAGATCAAAGTGACATCCCAACCAAAGGCAGAGGACGGCCCTTGTAAGACCGTGTGGTTTAGTGGGTCAGGTGTTGGACTGGAACTTGGGAGATGCCGTTTCTAGTCTCCACTGAGCCATGAAAGTCACAAGGTGGCTTCTAAAGTTATACTTTCTAAGCCTGACCCAGGATGTTCTAGCAGAAGCAGAGGGATTCCAGAAGAGATGTGCAAGATCTTGAACACAGTGGATGATATGAGAAGGAGAAACTCTAAATGTCAGCAAATTATGCTGCTTAAAGCAGTCTCTTGGCAATTTAATTCTGCAGTCTTCACATTGCCCACCTCTCCGTGAGTTGGACACTCCATTTACCAACCTTGGAAGGACAGGAACTGAGTTCGTCTGGAGTTGGCTACTTAAGCCCGTCAGTTCAAACGCAGATCATCAGCAGAGTTTTGACTGCAGAACTGCAGATTAATCACTGCACCACGAAGTCAAGATCTATCCTATCTTTGTTCTGTATTTTAAATGTTCCAATGTCATTTAAGTGAAACACATCTCTTCTTATTCTCCATTCTAGCCATATATCAAGAGGCTGTTTTAACGTACCAGTTCTTCAACTGCTGATTCTTGAAACACTTTTTGTATATGGAGAAAGGTGTGGTGGTAACGCTTTCCCCCCACTTTCAAAACCCAAGGAAACATAAATACAACCATGGATCTCTTGAACCTTAATGAAAAAGAGATCAAGTTGAAAAACACCTGGCCTCCCAGCACCAGACCTTACCCAGCAAGGTGGCCCCTCCATCCCTTGCTCTGTTCTCCAGGGGAGCCTCTTCTTCTGCGGGGAAATCCGGCTGAACGTCCAGAGACAGATCTTTGACCTCAAAGAAAAACAGAAGTTTAAGAAAAAGAATGGGCCGACACGGCCACTGCAGCCGCCCCACCTTACATTTCATGTGTGTGTGGAGGCTGTCAGCATTTTGTGGGAACTTGGATTAAAGGTGGAGAAGGAAGTAAGGAGAAGATTCATCATCCTCAGGAATTGGATGTTGCCTCTGAAGAGCTAGATCCCATATTATGTGCCCTGGGAAAAAAGGCAATTTGCGAACCATCTACAACTCCGGGACCAGGGTACATTGCCAGGAGGAGGTGTCAAAAGAATGAGGACGTGAGAGGGGCCCATAGATCTTTGGCCTGTAAGGATCACTGACCCCCATGGAGACCACAGAGGCCAGCCAGGTACCCGGGCCCTGCACCGATCCAAAGGGAGGAACTGCAGGAGGAAGCCCGATAAGGAATGCCTGTGGTGGAGGCAGTAAGGACTTCCAGGGAGAAAGGAGCCTGTGAGTGCCCACCAAGACAGGGTCTCCCTAAAGGGAGGGAACTGGCTGGAGTCAGTGCTGAAGACGAAAGTCCAGCCACAGACGATGGAGGGTTCTTGCCAAAGGAAGGGAACTCGGGCATCAAACAAAGACTGAACTGGGCAGGGAGTTAGTGAAGCCAAATCTGCTTCCTGCCAGATAGCTGGGATGGAGTGTATCCAACACCCAACCAATTTTGGACCCTCTCCCCTTACATTCATAAAATCAATTTCTAGCAGCTCTGAAAGTACAGACCCCGTGGAACCAGTGGCTGAGGAGCCCCTTTCCTACCGAGAAGGCTCTCTCCTGCGTTGGAGCAGCTGCACTCACAATAAAACATGTCTCCTTTGGAAACAAAACAAGGTGAATGATCCTAATGAGTTTTGCCGTCAACAGAAATACATTTTACCGTATTTTTCCGTTTATAAGAAACCCTGATGTATAAAACGACCCCCACTTTTCTGACTCCACCACTTCCTTAACCTGAGGCTGACAAAAGGAGGGGGAAAGAAGCGATCAAAACGTGTCAGGATCTGTTTGAGCTCTTCGCCCCTCCACTTGTTTATGTTCTCTCCTCAGTTTACTTCCATGTATAAGACGACCCTCAATTTTTAGTCTAAAGATTTTAGACAACAGTATCGTCTGCCAGATGGCAAAATACGGTATGTGTAATTTCAATGGAACAGCAACTAACTTGGCCATGGATGCAGCCTTTATAAGAATACACGGGAGCTCAGAGAAAATGCTGTCTCACCTTCTCCTCTTCCTGCCTCTTCTCCTCGGCCTGACTCAGGAGGAACCCTTCGGCCAGGGCCACGGCCTGGGAACTAGTCTCCGCTCCACATTCCCTCACCCAGCTGGACATCTCCGGGGGAAGGATGGCCAGGAACTGCTCCAGGATCACCAGGTCCAGGATCTGAGCCTTGGTGTGCCTTTCTGGCTTCAGCCACTGGCGGCAGAGGCGGTGGAGTCGGCTGCAAGCTTCTCGGGGCCCTTCAGCTTCCTCGTAGGAGAACCGCCTGAAGCACTGGCAATGTATGTCTGAGCCAACAACGTCCTCATTCAGAAAAATGTTCATCTTCCTTCCCCAGAATTCGTCACTGCTTCGCCTCTTGATGGCAGGGAAGCCACCTGAACCTTGCTCGTCCATCTTCTCAAGCCCCACTCGTAGTCTGCAAAACCAGTACTTTTCTCTGTGAATAATACATTGAAAAATATTATTAGCAATTATTATACTACAGTATATCACATCCATGAAGACCACCTCTCGTCCCTGAAGGAAATGCAGGAAAAAGCCAAGGATAAAATGGAAGTTAGAAACTTGAGCGTCTTCCTTCCGCTGAGAGTTACACCCCACTTCTTTCTACTTCACCGAGAATCAGAAAATTGAGCATCTGCCCCCCCCCTTGAATAGTCTCTCTTTCTACTCACATCAGGATCTCTTGTAAACCACCCTGAGAGTATTTCAAGCACTCTGGGGTGGAATATAAGCAGCACCCTTTGCTTTGGCCTTCGTGATTCCTTTCACCGCAAGCCATTTTTTAAATAAAAAAAACAACATAAGATTTGTTTTTGTGACGGTTTTCCCTTAAGTAAAAGCTTTTTCGACTTTTACTGGTTAATCCATTAATGATCCTTAATAGAAACCAGATAATTCATAAACGCTACTAAATAGCCCCATAAATGCGTAGCTCATTCACTTTCAAATGTTTTCAAGTCTTTCTTGCAACACCTCTTTCGGATTTTGGAAGAGGTTCAGTTCTTTAATCAGTTCCCCATCTCAGCTGCCCGACAGAAAGGGAGCAGAGAGGACGCAGAGGGCAGGAAGCCATTTCTGAGGGGTCTCCCAGGAGGGTCCTGCTTTTTTTGGTCTTTCTTCCTCCCTTTTCCATATTTTGCAGGGCTGGCCCTCCCTCTAGGAAAAAACATCTAAGTCCTCCAGCCTTTCTTTTCCTGTTGGGGGTCCCCTCTTTCTCCCCCTTTCCCTGATTTAGAGATTATATAATATTTCCGGAAATCTTGCAGCCATATCAAAAGACTTTTAAAAAAACCTTGGAGAAACCGGGCCCTGCCCTATGGACAGCCGGAGGAGGAAAGCGGCTCAACCCCTCACCCTCTCTCGAGGGGGGGGGGCTTTGCGGGGATCCTCCTCTCGAGGAGGCGCCTCCCTCCCTCCCTCCCTCGGCCGGGCTGGGTTGGGGGGGCAGAGAGAGAGAGAGAGTTTGGGGTCCCCCCACCCCAAGGCGGCTCCTCTGCCACCCTCTCCGGAGGGGGCTCGGCTTCACCCCCGAAAGGGCCAGGCACGGAGCTCAGCTCGCCCGGGAAGGGAAACGCCGTCCGGGCGGCCCTGGAAGGAGCTCAAGGCCCGTTTCTCTCCGGAGGTTGAAAAACGAGGCGCAGGAAGGGAGGTTTCATCTGGGAGAGGACACTTCCTCTGTAGGACTCGCCGCTTCCCCTCTAGGAAGCCCCACTCACTACCTTTAACCCTTAGAGAACAGGCACAACTGGCACGCCCCCTTTCTGCCTCTCCCGCAACACGACCAAGGGAACATCCTTCCCAACAGCATTCATTCAGTTTCGCTCCTCTGGATTTGCACCAATTCTCACCTTTCATCACCGTTTCCAAGACAATATGTGCGTGAAATATAATTCACAGACTTAGAAAGGAAGAATTCTGTATTTTAAAAAATGTTCAGGATAAAATCACTCAATTTTCTAAGCAATACAGTTCTTACGGTAAAGTTTTAATCTTATTTACGTTTCCTTACAGATGAAGTACATGAAGTCTGGTTCTACACTTCTTCCGATGCGAGAAAAGAGAAAAGACATAGTCTCAGTTATACGAAGACCAAAAAGGAAGGGGCAATCTTTATTTAGCAAGAGCTGATTGAGGCTGGTAATTATAGGCAGGGATGGGAACTCCAGTCCAGCGACTTCAATAAATGATAAAAGTAATGCAGTCGGAGTTAAGTTGTACTCCTGACTCAACTCGTTTTTCCCCCAAAAATTTCAGACTCAACTGAGAACCCACCCCTCACTTTTTTTGGGAGAAAAGGCATGTTTTTAATAGGGATTCAGACTTGGGGCATAGAGTGCTGCCTTATGGTGGCGAAGGGGCTTGAGAAATTCAGAGAAGCTATGGGCTATGCCTTTCCGGGACACCCAAGATATAGTGGAGAGTTCGGACTAAAAACGAACTACCTGGAGGAGGAACTGGCAAACCACTCCAGTATCTTTGCCAAGAAAATTCCAAGGACAGAAACAACAGGCTAAAAGATGTGACATGCTACTGAGGAAGAGTGGAGGACAAGTACAAATAGCTCCAGAGCTAATGAAGTGGTTGGGCCAAAGCTAAAAGGACTCTCAGCTGCAGACGTGCCTGGAACTGAAAGGAAAGTCCGATGCTGCAAAGAAAAATCCAGCATAGGAACCTGGAATGTAAGATCTATGAACCTTGGTAAGCTATATGTGGTCAAACAGAAGATGGCAAGAATAAACATTGACATCTTGGGCGTCAGTGAATTAAAATGGACGGCAATGGGCGAATTCAATTCAGAGGATTCTCATCTCTACTACTGTGGGCAAGAAGCCTGTAGAAGGAATGGAGTAACCCTCATAGTCAACAAAAGAGTCGGAAAAGCTGTATTGGGATACAATCTCAAAATTGATAGAATGATTTCAATATGAATCCAGGACAGATGTTCCAACATCAAAGTAATCCAAGTTTATG